AAAAAAAAAAAAAAAAAAAAAAAAAAATGAGACAGTACAGCAGGTGGGGGGATATAGGGTACATGCCGTACATCAAGTGATGGACAAACGTTTGAGGGGGAAAGTGTTTAAAATGGAGAATAAATAATTAGCATGGAAAATTTTGCTCCATGTTAGCGATTACCCCTGATGCAATATACACATAACGGTGCCCTTTCTACCTGTGTGCTGCTCCGTGGTGATCACCACCCCGTGTTTGATCATTCATTTTTTTTTGTTAATTGGAGGTTGCCCCTCGATGATGTTTCTCCACGTGGAGGGTGGGGACATCTTCATTGGTGGGTTTAATTTTTCAGGGCACATCTGACGTCAAAGGTTGGCCCAATTGTAAGCACCCCGGTTTGGCTGCACCACACATGAATAAGGCACACACATGAATTTCCCCTTCAGTTCACATTCACAAGGGGCACACGTGCTGGTAGGTTATGCCCCATACCTATTTGATCAAATGCTCCGCTTGTGCAGTGGTGGCGTGTCTTACAGGTCGGTCCACTCAGAGCGCATTGCGTGTCTCCATCCGGTAGCCCCCCCTGGGGAGGTTCGCCCGCAGCTTCAATATATGTAGCTTTTTCTCCAACGCGGCGATCTTCTTTTTATTCAACACTGCTTCGTTATACAGCTGAGAGTAGGTCACGACCAGGTGATTTCTAATTCCGTCCTCATTGTGGAGCGCCGGTTTTCTAAGGTGCTGCGCGTGAAGGGGGGGAAAAAAAAAGTGTGCGAAGTGAGTCGTGCGGTTAGGCGGCTCTTCCGCGCACTCGCTTGCCAAAGTCGTCCATTCACTCTTTGGCCACCGACTCGCTTACCATGGGAACCAGGTTGTGGACCCAGAAGCGGTTGTCCGGGTTCTCGTACTTCCTGTCAAACTTCGAGGTCAGGCTCTGCGCCTTGAAGTTCGCGTCCGCACATTTGTTCTTGAGGCTACTCAGTAGCTCGGAGATCTGTCCTACATGATCGTATTCACTTTTGAAGGCATTCGTTTCTTCCATCTTACCATGATGCTCCAAATTGGTACTACCCAAGTGGAACCTCTCCTTTCCATCCCTGGAACGACCAGCCCCCTCTTGGTAGTAGTAGTCAGGTAACATACTTTGGTACGTAACTGAATTCGGGTTGTTCAACTCGTCATTGTAATGCACAAAAGGAGGTCTTGTGGGGAGCTCCCTCTTTTTGTAGCAACAATTCGCCTGAACATGTTCAGAAATATTTTTCTCACCATATTTCAATATATTAATTCTCTCCTCTATATCGTAATGGTCCAAGGAATAAATGTTGGAGTAGTATGTCAGTAGGCCTTTTTTTATATCGTCTATGTTGACTTTTATTTCACCTATTCTGGGTGGGTGCATGTTTGTCTTGGATGCGATGGGATTTTTTATCCCCTTACTGCTGGGCGCACTACGGTCGGTGCTTTTGTGGTGTCCTCCTTGCCGTATGACCATATGACCGTCATAGTGACAATCGGGGTGCCCTTCCATATTATCACCCGCTTCGTCACCCTGCTGGGGATAGTCCCGCTTGAGAGAATATGCGTTCTGTCCCTGTGCAGGAGGAATCACCGGCACGAAGTCACGGGCATCCACTTTGAATAGCTCCCTTTGCATCTCCTTCACTTGGTGGGAACTCTTTAGCACATTCCGTAGCACTTCGTTTTGAAAAATCAGATCCTTCTCCATGGCCATCTGCTGCTCCTTGATCATTTTTGTTTTCCCGGTTTTATCGGTGTGATGTTTGCGATGGGTGCTGTTGTTGTGATGACTGCTGTTGTTCCCGTCGTTGTCCTCCTCAATCCTGGATAAGCTTTCGTAAGGGAAAACGTCTTCCCTCACTCCGCACGCAAATTGCGAATTGTATACTTCGTACGTGTCATGGTGTGGGTCATGTCCGGTTCCATGGACGCTATCGCACGCCGTGTTTTCGATGTCCTGCAACGTGTGTGTGTGTGGGGAGGGTGTTTATGTGGGTGAAGCAACTCAACAGTGGTAACATTTTTCCGTTGTGGCGATCTCCCCCATTTTGAAAATTTCCGACCTCAGCCCCATCGCCTGTACTGTTCAGGCAATTTTCCCCTTTTGTGTGCACCCACCTGTTGGTAAGCTTCGCTTACGCATTTCCCGAGTTCGCTTAGGCCGCGCTCCGCTGAGGGATCAATCCCTTCGGCGCGTTCGTGCCCATGTGCAAACGCCTACAAGGAGTGTAACGGTGGGAAGTGTTCACGTGAAATGTGCATCGTTCAGGTGGAATATGAACTGTTCAGGCGAAATGGACAATTTTTTTTTTTTTTTTTTTTTTTTTTTTTTGGCTAGCTGGGCACAAGCATGTGGACAGCTGTCAGGGACACCAATTCACCGAGCAACTTGTGTACGTTCAGAATTTTTCGTATAGCGCATTGGGACAATGAGCACTTTGCGAACAAAATTAGAAAAAAAAAAAAAAAAGGAAAAAAATCTCAATATGAATATATGCTTAAGCGAAACAACTTGGGGATGAAGCGACCATCCGCTCACTACAAAAATATGCAGAAAATGGTACACAGTTTGATCCGTGTGGTCTACTTTGCGTGTGAGGTAGGCACCAAACTCGTGCTGGGGCTCATTACCTGCATGGTCTCACTTGACTCATTTAGCAGACATGCCTGTCGAGGCGGTGTGCACACTTTTACTTTTTGTTCCGTATAAAAAATGCAATTTGAAATGGTGTGCTTTGCGAAGCACACTCCATAAGAGGTGGTGTGGCAGGAAAAAAACACAACAGACAGACCGGGAGGAATATTCTCCAAATGGTGAATCTGTAGTGGCAGCCACTTCGTCAACAGCTTCACCAAGCACTACACTAATGTAGATTATTTTCCCATTTTGTTTTTTTCCCCGCGATGCGTTGCCAAGTGTGGTTACCGCCGCGGGAACAGGGGGGAGGGGTAAACTTAAATGGGGGAAAAAAAAAAAAAAATTAATATATCAGTTTTCCCGTTTAATAATAAATTATAATGACAAAAAGGATTAATATTCATGTGGTACATAAAAAAAAAAAAAAAAAAAGAAAAAAAAAAGAGACTTGTCCTAGTTGCACAGAGAAAAGTACAATACGCATCTGGGTACGTGGACACACACCATTTGCCGCAAAGCGGAGTACATCTCTCTATGCACACACAAAAGGGGTGCAAAAAAAAAAAAAATAATAAAATAAATAAATAAAATAAAATAAAAAATAATTCAAGAATGTTACATTGGGGGAAAAGGCAATCGCCTGATGTGGCAAAAACGCGGCGACGAAAGAGGGACAAAATGGGGCAAACATAAAGTGGCTCTTTAATTATGGGTCACTGTTTAAAAGTGCGTTTGGAGTGAACCCAGCTGTTCGTACATGTAGGGGAAGCAGCGGGGGATGAAGATGAATATGTCTATCCCTCTTCCCTTGTGGAGAAAAAAAGCTGCACTTTTTTTTTCTCTCTTTGTTCCACCCTGCGAGGTGTTTTACAAGTTGTACGTGTGGGTGGAATGGCAGCAGCGAAGTATCAATTAACGGAAAGGTCACGGCCAGCGCAGCTTACCATTCATCGCTTCTTCGTTCACCACTTGGCCGCATAACAGCTTCACCGCGCCTAACTCCACACTTTGACCGTTTTGTCCATCGAGCTGGAGAGCAGGTAGGCCGTCCTGCTGCCAAAACACGTTTGCGTGACGGTGTCCGTATGGGACGAGAGGGTATTCACGAGGGTGGCCTGCGTCTTAGTCTCGAAGTTATATATATGTATGTCATTTCCCGCCGCTAGGGAAAAATATTTACCTGAAAAATCAAATTGTATATTTTTTGGAAGTTCATCCACATCTATGGTTTGAAAACACTGTGCCTTTCTGAGGTCCCACAATTTAGCTGTTTTGTCTTTTGAACAGGAAGCCAAGTAGTATCCATTCTCACTGAACGAAATATAATTTACATCACTAGTGTGTCCACTGAGGGAGGCTTTATACTCCTGACTTTTAATGTCATATATGTGTATGTTTGAATCTTCAGCACCGATCCCAATCATAATTCCATCTGGGTGAATGGCCAAGTGTCTGAACGGACTGGGGTTCGTTTTACACATTTTTATCGTCCTTGAGGTTTCCATATCGTGTAGGATCCATACATTGTCTTTAGAAGCACTCACAAAATAATTCTCCATCGGGTGAAGTGCCAAGGAGGTTAGCTGATCCTTGTGTTTTGTAATGACATGTGAAGTGGTGAATTCATTTGTGTCCACATCACCTTTCCATATGCGTACCGTTTTATCGTTTGACCCCGATATGCACACAGGGTAACTCGGGTGAGCCGCAATGGAAGTGACCTTTTTTAAGTGTCCCTGTAACTTGGCCAATACTTTATTTTCCTCAAGGGAAACATAATATACATTGCCATCCATCCCTCCGGAAAAGAAATTGTGATTCATATGATCATGATTATAATTGTATCTCGTTTTGTTTATGTCTAGTGAAAGACATGTTACTCCTGGGAGTGCAGCGGAGTGTACATCGAACTCGTTTGTGTCAGTCACCTCCTTCCACTTTTCAGTCGAGGTCACATTTTCTACGTTTCTCTTCTTCCTTGTCATCAACAGACCTTTTGCGACCTCTTGCATCTCGTTTAACAATTCATCACTTAACCCAACCTCAAATTCATTTAAATCATTTCCACTCTGAATGCTTAAGATTTGTTTCCTCAAATTTTTTATTTCTTCTGTGTAATTATTTTTCTCCTTTAGTAGTTTTGCAATTACCCTCGTTGCAGCATCGTATTGGTACAGACTGTGGGTCAGCTGATTTCGAATGTCGTTCACATGCGTCCTTAGAGTAAACATTTCAGATATGAGGGAGTCCCATTCCGTTTGAAGAATGGACAGCAACCCTGGAATGCTACTCGCAGTGATGGGTCTCGGCTTCACCACCTTCTCATTCTTCAATGGGTACAGGTCCTGCAGCGTCAACACTTCTCCACTTACCGGACATAAGCCATAGTTCAGGATGTGTTTCTCGATCAGCCTCTTTTCAAATATGTACCCCGTTTTGCTCACCACGGGCTCTTCGGGCGTCTGCCCACTGATGGTGCACAGGATGGACATCGTCGCAGGGGGGAGAAGCGGTGCGCAGTGATGTCGTGTTTGGGGTCGTGCTCGGCGTGGTGTTCTGCGCGCTGTTCACCGTGATGCCCACTTGTACACTGTCGCGTCGCAAACGGTTATGCCTCTCTCTCTCTGTGCGCTGGCACCTTCACTGTTGCAAGTGTATATAGGTGAGCCCGCGCGCACCTACGCATACGCCGTGTAATGATGTCCCACGTGCATAAGAGCGGCTTTCCCCCGTTCGTCCCCCCTCCTACGGATGAAGCAGAGAACTGGGGGAAGAACAAAAAAAGGGAAAAAAAAAAAAAAAAAAAAAAAAAAAAAAAAAAAAAAAAAAAAAAAGTTGCCACTACAACACTCCGTTTACCCTTTTTTTTCGCGTCACTTGTGCAAAGCTCCTGTTCACAACTTGGAATGCCTCCATTTGTTACAACCACATCGCGCCTACGCTACCTCCCTATATCACCCCCTGCCCTATGTGGACATTTTGAAAGACCACGCGAAAAGGACAAATCGGTGTACAGCTCTTCATTACTGGTAGAGAACGGTTGCTCTAATCGCCTTCGTGTCGAATGCCCAAAGCTGTGACCCCAAATGAGGAGAAAAAAGTGCGTCACCACAGGGTGGGCAATGCGACTGGGACAGGACTAGCATAAAAACACAGCGGACAGGTACGCTGAACGAGACTTCTATCACTCGCAGATGGAACAACAGTTGATCGACCCACGCACGTTGGTAGAAATTACCATACGGGGGCTGCAACCCACATTCTATCATTTTCCAAACAAAGGCAGGATGGGGGTTGCGCCGAAAGGGGCTATAAAACGCGCAGTTGAGTGCCATTAATAAAATGTGTGCTCTAAGCGCTCTGGACAAATGCCCAAATGTACATATGTTGGGCAGAAGAAAAGGATGGTGGATTCATGACGGCCGTCCAAGCCACACCTTACACAACTGATTCAAAATGTGCGCAGGGTAAAAGCGACGCAGCCGTTTTGTTCAAACCCTACATGTGACATGGGTGGGTTGGTGCTACGGAGGGGCAATGGTCCTTATTAGGCCACCACCCATACACATGGAAAATATATACCGGCTCATAATTGCTTCACGCTTCGCAATCCCATGGTGCGGATAAAAGAAGATACTATAAAAAGAGTAAGGCCAGCAAAGAAAAAAAAAAAAAAAAAAAACTTTTCTCCAGTTTATTCGAAAGGAAAGTGTTTTCGTTTTCTACCTCTATTCATTTTGTTTTTCTTTTTCCAACGTGGCTTCTCAAATGTCATACAGTTCTTTTTTTTTTTTTTTAACCATCACGCCAAAATTATTTTCCACTTGGGCATTCCACAATCATTTTCCCCCAACGCGTTCATTTAAAAAGGTGCCATTTTGATTGGGAAAATTAACGCTAGCAAAATGTATGATAAAAAAGGCCATCCAAAACAGGTACAATAATGCCTCGTAAAAGGTAAAAAACATATTACCACAAATATACAAGCAGAGTGATAATTATTCTTTTGCCTGGCCCATTTTGCTTGCCAAAATTACTTCCCCAATACAAATTTAGCTAGGGTTAACAATTCACAATTTCATGCAAAGGTTTGATTTTTTAAAATTGTTCGCCTTCATGCAAAGGCTACAAAAATTGCCCTCAGCTTTTTCAAGCCTCGAGACGGGAATTGGAGTAGTTTTCAACTAGCAATAATCGCGTATCCGTTAGTCGTCATTTACAGCGATAATGCCCCTCCCGCAAAGATGCTATTTTTTCAGGCATTTCCAAGTATGTACTTTTTTCAATGCCAAAAGTGTACCTATCCGCGTCGGCATAACCAAAAAAAACAAAAAAATTTCGTGTACGCACTGGGGCAAAGAGCGTGAGCATATGAAAAATGGTTGGCAGGAAAAAAAAAAAACAGATAAACATTTTCTTGGAGCATCCTGCACCCGCACGCTTACCCAGTAAAATATAAAAAGGAAGGCAACAAACTAGCTGTGCTTTTTCGCAGATGGAATTATTTTGTAAAATTAAATGCTCGCCATGTTAATCACTTCATTTTCCATTTGAATGCATCCCCGCCCCCCTTCCTCTGCTATCGAACTGCCGCAATGTGGTTAAGCACACCACATTCAAGATTTTTTTTTTTTTTTTTTCTTAAAATTGTCACCATATAACATGACCATTTTTGCCATTCCACAGAATGCCGCCTTTGGAACGTGGGTGTTACATCTTTTCCTTTGAGAACCATTAGAGGCGCAACTGACGTCTCAATTTGATAGTTTTCCCTTAATTGAACAAAATGATCCAATGTTACATTCGCACGCCGGTTAACAAACAACTGGCCAAAATTTAGAGCACCGCGCGAAACTCCATTTTTGCCTGAACAAGTCAGATTAAAAAAAAAAAAATGGGGGAATTTTTACCTTTTTGTTGAAATTTACCTGACTGGGTCAGGCAACCACACAATGTGTACAACTTTTTACGTTAAGAAAATCCATCATAAAAAGGCGCACGTGTGTTGTAAACCTTTGTAAACATATTCACGAGCAGGAAAAAACTATTGCCGTTCGCGCTCATGCGTACACCTGCACATCCTATTTTTTTCGTTCCCCTGCGAGAGGGCGTGCACGTGGGAAGGGGTCCACACCGGGCAAACTCCGCATGTTCCCAGAATGACGAATTTGCGTAGTGCTCTCAATATGCGGTAAAGCACTGTCAAAAGAACAAATTAGCACACCCGCGATTGGTTCAGATTGGTTCCCATTTTGTTGTCACCACACTTGCGCGCGGACGGTCAGGTCGTTTGCCGCTCAATTTACAACAGCGTTGTTCTGTGCATTTTCCTCATTTAAAAAAAATTCCCGGAAGGAGAGTTCCTCCCTCGCAATTTTGTTCATTCTCCTCTAGCAAGGCAATTTTTGTAAAGGTGAACTTCTGAAAGGCAACTTTGCTAACAGCAATTTTTTTTTTTTTTTTTTTTTATTTCTGCCTTTGGTCAACTGCCAACCGTTTGGGGTGACCAGGTGGGGATTTTCCCGCTTCGCTCACTTCGTCACCTGTACTAGTTCGTTCATTCAATGTGGATCCTTTAAATTGAGAGGAGGCAACATGTGAATGTATAGGCGTGCGTGAAAGGGAAAAAAAAAAAAAAAAAACACATATGTTTATGCACATCGCTGTAACGTTGCAAGAAAAAAAAAAAAAATTAAAAAAAAAAGGGATTACAACTTTGGGGTGATTTTGTAGAGAAAACCTAGTTAGCAGTTTCTTTTTGTCCCCAAGTGGACGCCTTTTTTTTTTTTTTTTTTTTTCCACCCCTCATGTTGACATGGCTAGCCGGCTGAAGTCCCTCCTGTGCAATGTGGGGAAGTTTCCGTGCGACCCTGATTGCTTATCAACTGAGACATGTGAAAATGGAGGCATCAATTTCTGTGACGCCGTATTAAACGGGATAAAACCTTTAGACGAATGTTTTACCACAAGTAGCTCTGACCATGGGTACAAGTACCAAGACAGCTCTGACATTTCCAAATATTATTTTGATGGGTGCATTAAGAAAGAAGGTTTGGTGTACAAATTGGAGCCGAGCAATCTTAGCGCAAGGAATCTGTGTCCTGCATTGGTAGGAGACAGAACAGACTATCATCCTAACGGGCAGGAACAGGCCTCAAACAGTGTTATTGATTTAGAAGACGAAGTCCTCATTGGGAATTTCCCCTTTGGTTGTTTAAGAGAGGTTGCTCAGCGATCCCTGAACAGCTTGGAAAATGCAAACTCCCGCTTCATTATCACAGATCGTAATTTGAGGATCACTCGGAAGGATACAGACCTAACGGGGCATAACGTAAGAATCGGGGGAAAGCAGTCTAGCCACTTGTACAGCGAAATAGGCAAGCCAGATGCGGCTGTGCGTGAGCATTCGGTGAGCGACGGGGAGGAGGAACAGAACGAAGAAGCTGGTGAGGGGGAACACAATGACGCTGGGGGGGGAGACGTAGGACATGTAATCTTTCCCCAAAATTCTGATGCGACAGACGGGGCGCACGATGCGATAGGAGAGACGGGCGAAATGGACGAGATGAACCCCGCGAAAAAATCCACCTCTTATGTAAAAAAAAAAAGTAGTAATAATCATCCCAAGAAAAAAAAGGAAAGTGAGGAAAGGCGGGGCACACATTTGCGCTCCATGTTTGCGTTTTTCGCCAGAGCGGAGCCCGCTGTGTCCAATTCGTCTCGTTCCTGCAGGGACAAGGTCTCCGACGCGTCCTCCGAGTTCCTGTCCGTGATTAGCAGTGCGAAGTCGAATGTGTGATTGGGGCAGGTATGCGCAGTGGACGAACAACACGCACACAAAAAATGGGGCAAAGTGGACGAAGAAGATGTTAACAAAATGAACCCCACTGTTTTGTTGTTTTATTATTATTTTTTTTTTTTTCCCCCATATGTCATTTCTACCTGACTTGTTCAGGCGAAAACAGGGTTGCCATGGTGGGGGGGCCAAAACAGGACAATTTTTTTTTCTTTTTTCGTGTCACGTTCGCAAGGTGCGATCTGCACAACGACGCACATGTGGAAATGTTCTTCACTTTTCATGTGTGTTCCATGTATGTGGTTTTCTCTTTAATGTGTGTTTTGCTCTGCATGTGGGCATGCCCACGCTGCAGCTATGTAGTTTGTGTATACTTGGCTTTAACCCTCATTGCAGCGCTCTCCTTTTTGCGCAAAGGTGCAGGTGTACAACGATGTGCTATGTAATATTTTCCTGCATCCGTTTTTTCTTCT